GTACTTGGTGCTCAGCATCCCCAACCAAGGCTGTGCTGAGCATCGTTAGAGGGGGAGCGGTTGGCCTGGCACTGTGGTGCATGCCTGCAACCCCAGCAGTCTGGGAGGCTCAGGCAGGAGGATCACAAGTTCCAGCACCCAGCCTTAGCAACTTAGGGAGACCTTGACTCAAAAAATTTTTTTAAAGGGCTGGGAATGTAGCTCAGTAGTAAAGCACTCCTGGGTTCCATCCCCAGGGCTGGGGGTAAAAAACAAAACAGCTCAAGAAGAAAAGGGAGGCCTGGTATGTAGGAGTTCCCAGACTAGCAGGTGGGCCTGGTCACACACACCTGGTGCTAATCCCCAGTCACCAGATACTTTTCTATTCTGTGATTCTCAAGAACAAAGACCACTCCTTCCTGGGGCCCCTCGTTGGCCGCCAAGCTCACGGAAATGAAAGCAAACATCTCTAATGCAGGCTTCAGCCCTCCTTGGACTCAGATGTGGCTCATAGCCAGGACAGCCTGGAGGGCGTGGGCATCAGGGACAGCTGGAGGCCGAGGCTGCCACATAGCATTTCTGTCCCAGTGGGATGGCCACGTGGGTATGGGGTGCACGGGCTCATGAGTGACCTCCCCAGGGGGTTGAAGCATGGCAGGGAGTTTATCCCTGTCACTCGTGAAAGTGTGCCATCAAGGGAGCTGAGGGCTCCAAAGGCCAGGCATGGAGCACCCCTTCCTTCAGCCTCTCTTAGAGGTGCTGCTTTGGGACCTACAGTGCCCTGTGTCACCCTGGCTGACCTTGAACTCGCAGCAATCCTCCGTCCCAGCATGGGGGCTCCTGGGTAGCAGAGACTGCTCTTGATGAGCCCAGGGAAGCCAGGGCCCAGCCTTGGCAATTTTGTCAGAAGGAGGACAAAACCCTCTGTCTGATGTCTAGGACCTGGGCCCAGCCACATCCCTGCAACACACACACACACGCGCACACACACAGTGCACACTCACCCTCTCACTCTCTCATGTACACACAGTCCTGTTGCTATCCGTGGACCCCCAGGGACCGGTGTCTGTGGAGCCAGAAGCAAGGCTCAACTGCGCGTGTGCAGCCCTCAGCACTGCTATTTAAAGGTGGGAGGCATCAGGCCAAGAGGGGCCCTGACTGTGACATGCATCCCTTCGCGCTTGGTCAGACACTGAGTGGACATTGGCCCCAAGTACCGCTGCAGCTGGGACTGCGCAGGATGCAGGAGCTGGCAGTCTGTGCTGAGGCTGGAGGAAAGAGAGCTGGGGGGCTAGAAAGCTGAAGTCCTGAGCCTTCCACACCCTTGACGTCCCTGTATGTGTGAGGAAGAACCACCTGCTTCAGAATGGACACTCCTTCAGGGCCACGAGTCTCACCAGACCCAGCCCAGGAGCCCAGCTTCTTGGCCACCCTGTCAGCACCTGGCAGGGGGGATGGCACCCCAAGCAGCCTCTCCACGCCGGGCCAGCTTCCACCGGGCAATCCCACGGTAAGACTGGGGAAGTGTGGTACGGACTCCACCTTTCCACTTTCTGTCCCTGCTACTCTGACAGGTGACAGAAAAGGCCTGAGCTCTGTGGTAGGATCTCGGACCATCCCCAGAACACACTGGGGAAACAGAAGCAGCCCTGCAGGGAAGGAGGTGTAGACACCTAGCCTGCCCTGGCCTTGATGCCATCTGGGTAGTGTGCCCAGGGCTCTGGGTTTGTTCAGGTCAGAGTGGGTTGCTGGGCAGGACAGAGACCAGACCACACCCTTCCAAGGCAAGGGCCTGGGTGGGAGAGGTCTTTAATCCCTCGGCACTAAATTCACAGGGCAATGCTTTCCCTGTGCTGTCCATGGAAGGCCACGAGATACGACCAAAAACTACAGAGTGCAATTAAATTTAAAATTATTGCAATAGGAGGCAAGGATTTAGCTCAGTGGCACTGCACCTGCCTCGCAAGTGTAAGGGCCTGAGTTTGATCCTTGGTACTAGAAAAAATTATTACAGTAAAAGACACACTGCCACGAGTCCCTCTCAAAATCCTCTCCCTGGCTTTGAACACACTCATCCCATTGTTCTGGCCACTTTTTTTTTTTTATACCGGGGATCGAACTCGGGACCTCGCACTTGCGAGGCAGGCGCCGGAACCACTGAGCTAAAACCCCAGCCCTGTTCTGGCCACTTTCTGAAGCAGGTCTGGAAGTACTCTTTCTTGATTGTCTTTAGTTGCACAGTTTCAGCTGCCTCGATGTCCTGAATCTATTCAAAACATTGACTTTTTCATGGTCATTTTGACTCTGGGGAAGAGCCAAAGTTGTACAGTGCCAGATTCAGCAAATAAGGTGGATGAGGACACGCCATCATGGTTTTACAAATCTGTCTTTCTGTTAGATGGCACATAGCAGTGGCATTCACTATATATATATGTGTATATATGTGTATATATATATATATATATATATTTTTTTTAACCATATCTTGTAAAGACACTTTGACTTTTGGAAGACCTACATTTTCATCCCACTCAGTCACCAGCTAGCTGGGTGGACAAGTGGCTTTACCATTCATGCCTCAGTCTCCCGATCTGCCCCCTTGGGAGCCCTAAACCTCCCTTTTCAGGGACACTGGAAGGTGACAAGGGGGTGATAAACTGCCCCGCTTCTCTCTCTCCTCAGGCAGCCGGGACTCAGGCTGCGGTCCGGGTCCCCTTCTCCACAGCTGATGTTCCAGCGCATGTGCACTACACCCTGGGCGCAGTGATCCTGCTGGTGGGGCTCACCGGGATGCTGGGCAACCTGACAGTCATCTATACCTTCTTCAGGTGCTGAGGGTGCAGAGACAGTGTGGGTGGGGCACGGGGCTGTCGGGGCTGAGTGGGGAGGCAGGGCCAAGCCTGCTGTGGTCTCAGGCCTGGCCTCCACCCTCGAGTGCAGGAAAGGGCAAAGAGTGATCCTGGGAAGCTCGGATGGCACAGGCTCTCTGGAAGCCAGGGTTCATGGGGACCCTCGGGTCTCTGCCCCAACAAGCATCCTCCCTCCACATTGAAGAGCAGCGCTGGGCTCCTGGGTCATGAGTCCCTCAGCCTCTCCATGGCCTCCCAGCCCCACCCTGCCCAGTTGGTGGCTGATGGCTAAGACAGGCAGGTGGTGCTGTGAGCCCAGCCCAAGGGGGACCCCCCCCCCATTCCCTGGCTCCACCACCACCTAGCAGCCCTATCTTCTTCGATTTTCATGCTGCTCACCTGCAACTGTGCTCTCCTCAATGAGTTGAATGGCAATTCCTGATGTTCTGTGTGTGTCTTGCCCTGCAGGGGAGGGTTTGGATCCTGGCTGAGCCACTCACTGGCCTTTATGACCAGAGTAAGTCATTTCATGAGCAAGGGCCTCAGTATCCTCATCTGGAAAATGTGACTAGCTATGCCTCTCTCAGGGGAGACCCAGGAGGAATGGGGACAAGAGACGAGCTTTGTGAAGGTGGCTGCTTGTGGTCACAGACCTCAGCTCCTCCACCCTTTGTCACCACCAGGATGAGGGCCACAGAGGAAGCTGTGCTGGGAGGGGCGGGGCCAGGTGGGAGCCTGGAAGGAGGAGACCAGGATGGATGAGTAGAAGGGAGACAGGGGAATCCCTGGGGGGCTATGGCTGGAGAGGTCTGTCCAAGGAGAGAGAGCAAGAAGGGGTGGTGTTTGGAGAGACACTACTGCCTGCTTTGTCCTGGGGGAACCACCTTGGGGTGCCCCTGAGCCGGCACTGCTGGGGCTAGCTGCTGTCCAGGGAGCACCTGCTGGACAGAGACACAGGTGGCCCAGCAGCCCCCTTCCTGTCCACGTGCACATGTGTGTATGTTCATCCACGTGCAGGTGTGTGGTGTGTGCAAAGCCTATGTGCATGCATGTGCAGATGCGTGGCTTGTCTGTGTGGATGCATGTGTATTGAGGTGTCAGGAAGCACCCCTGACTGCTCTTGGACCCTCACAGGAGCAGAGGCCTGCGGACCCCGGCCAATATGTTCGTTATCAACCTTGCGGTCAGCGACTTCCTCATGTCCTTCACCCAGGCCCCCGTCTTCTTCACCAGCAGCCTCTACAAGCGATGGCTGTTTGGGGAGGCAGGTGGGAGCCCAGGGTCCCTCCTCCTGGAGAGAGGAGGATGGGCTTGGCAGGGATGCCCCCATCATAGGATGGCCCAGATGAGGCCACTGCTCTTCCTGGGCACAGAGCGAGTGTTGCCACCCTCCATGCACGAGTGAGGGAGGAGGGAAGACTGGGTTTGGTGCTGAGGCCTCTGCAGCCTCACCCAGATGTGGAGTAGATGGGGTGGGGAGGGCTCAGGCCTGGTCTCCCAAGAGTCAGGGAAGGAGGTGCCCCCATCCCAACCCAGACCCTGCTTGCCCTTGGGTCCTTTATGGGCTCTCCTCCAAGGGCTCAGGTAGGGCTCTCCCCACAGGCTGCGAGTTCTATGCCTTCTGCGGGGCTCTCTTTGGCATCACCTCCATGATTACCCTGACAGCCATCACCCTGGACCGCTACCTGGTGATCACACGCCCACTGGCCACCATTGGGTTGGCATCCAAGAGGCAGGCAGCGCTTGTCCTGCTGGGCATCTGGCTCTATGCTCTGGCCTGGAGCCTCCCACCCTTCTTTGGCTGGAGTAAGTGCCATTGGGAGAGGAATGGTAGGTGAACTTGTGTTGGGCCAGTTGGCAGGGCCAAGGGCCAGGGGGCACCTGAGCCTCAGGTGGACATTTACAGGAGCACCGCTAGCAGCAGGAGAAACAAGGTGCTCCATTAGGGACCAGGGTCACCTGGGCAGGCTGTTCCCCAATGCAGGGGTGCCGAGGTGGGCTGAGGTGACAGGTACGCAGCATGACCAGCTTACATGGGTCAAGCTTGGCGGGGGCTGGGCCAGTACCGTATCTGGGAGCCCCAAACCCCACACAAAGCCCCCGCTGGACCAGGAGCCCTGGGAAGAGCTAGTGTGAAGGCTAAGTGCCCTTCTTGATCCAGGTGCCTATGTGCCGGAGGGGCTGCTGACGTCCTGCTCCTGGGACTACATGACCTTCACACCCTCTGTGCGCTCCTACACCATGCTGCTCTTCTGCTTCGTGTTCTTCCTGCCGCTTCTCATCATCATCTACTGCTATGTCTTCATCTTCAGGGCCATTCGGGAGACAGGCCGGTGAGTGTTCTGTGGCGGGAGAGGGCTGCCACCCACAGGGCGCTCAGGGCTCCAGGATGCACTGAGCACCTCTTAGGTGTGGTGAGGGGACAGAAAGGCACCCAGGTAAAGCCACAGCAAGACTCTGTTCCAGAAAGGATGCCTCCTTCTAAGTGTCCCCAGAGACAGTCCTCAAGGCTCTCACTGCAACACGAGAGGGGTCTGATCCAGATTTCACTGTCCTAGAGCCTTCGAGAGCTGTGGGGAGTCCCCAAGTCGACGGCGGCAGTGGCAGCGGCTGCGCAGTGAGTGGAAGATGGCCAAGATCGCACTGCTGGTCATCCTCCTCTTTGTTCTCTCCTGGGCGCCCTACTCCACTGTGGCCCTGGTGGCCTTTGCTGGGTGAGCAAGTGGCATGGGGCTGGGGTGGGAGCTGACTCATGGAGGGTCCAGGACACGTGCTAGGGATGCTCTGGGCCACCCCAGATCCGGGCTCCTTGGGGACATGCAGTTGTCCCTGAGGTTCCAGTCCTGTCCTTGCCTAGGCTGTGGCATACAGGAGGGGCACTGCTCACCTAGGAATGAGACCCGAAGAGGTGCCCTCTGTGGCAAGACCTGCGGACTTTGTCATCTGCAGCAGTGTGGGCACAGGCTGGACTTCAGAAGCACTTTGCAAGAACCATAAAACCTTGCCAGTGTTTGGGCATTGACTTTCTTATCTAGGAGTGAGCCAGGTTTCTCTAAGGCAGCCAGGGAATGGTGGGCATTTGGGCAGGGTGGGGCTTGGGAAGAGCTACACAGAGGGTCCGAGGCCAATGGGGGACACCCAGAGCTACGGTGGGACCGGGAGACCCTGCCTAAACTTGTAGTCTTCATCCCAGAGCCCCACCCTCAACCACCCCCAGCTTCCCTCCCCCAACCTCAGCCCAGAATCCTCCCTGGCACTGCCAGGCCCGCAGCAGGCCAGAGACTCACCGGACTGTTGGGCCGGGCTGGGCTAGGGTCTGGATACTGGGAAGGGTGGGAGCCCTGCCCCTCCTTTGTTCTAGGCATGCGCACATCCTGACGCCCTCCATGAGCTCAGTGCCAGCCGTCATCGCCAAGGCCTCTGCCATCCACAACCCCATCATCTATGCCATCGCCCACCCCAAGTACAGGTGCGGCCACCGCCAGCATCTGGCTGTCTCCTGGGTTGGTCGGTGGGGAGTAGAGACACCCTGCAGTGGGGTCTGGGGTGGGCGTGGCTCATTTGAAGGGGCACCAGGGCATCCAGCAGAGTCTGACCCTAACTACAGAGTCTTCGAGGTGAGTCACAAGGCAGCCAAGGTCTCTGATCAGCCATTCCTCCCTGCAAAGACAAACGCTCAGACCGTGATGTCCTGGAGAGACCCAGCAGGGACACAGGACCTGGCCTTGAGGGCCCTGGCAGGTCCAGGGCCTCTGTGCCTAATGCATGCTTGGCTGATAAGAATCCCAGCAGGCGCCTCTCCCTTGGGGACTCTTTGGCCTGATGGTGTCTGTCACTCACCACCCTCTCAAAGCCAGCTGACAGGCTCAGCCAGTCTGGCTCAGAGCACTCAGGGGTGTCCCTGGTCCCCTTTCACATCCCCAACCCTGCCACCCCAAGGCTCTCTGCCCACTCCCGCTACTGGGCTTTATCTCTATTCCAGCAGCCCTGTAAGCCCACTAGGCTGCTTCCCCCAGTGTATGGCTGCCTGTCCCTTGGCCCTGATCAGTGTGTGGCCCTGCAGGATGGCCATTGTGCAGCACCTGCCCTGCCTGGGACTGCTTCTGGGTGTGTCGGGCCAGCGCAGCCTCCCCTCCCTCAGCTACCGCTCCACACACCGCTCTAGGCTGAGCAGCCAGGCCTCTGACCTCAGCTGGATCTCAGGACGCAGGCGCCAGGAGTCCCTGGGGTCTGAGAGCGAGGTGGTAAGAACACTGGGTACATGCCAGTGGCCCTGGCCACTCCTTCCTTAACCTGCCCCAGGCCCTGGTGGAGCTGACCCTGGGACTGTAGGCCTCTTGGCCCCTTCAACTTCCTGTGTCCTCCTCCAACTTTCGGTGGGTCCAATCTGAGCTTGGGTCTTCCAGCTCCAGGTCACCTTTCTCTGCGCCAACACAGTCCTCAGAGGCACAGATGAAAAAGCTTAGTGTTTCTAGCCCCAGATGGTCATCCAGAGATGAGGAGCCAGCACAGGCCCTGTGGGCCTCAGCATTCAACCCCTGGCCTCTAGGAGCCATGGAGAGCAGGCTGCAGGGGAGGAAGTTTCCAGCCTCAGCTTATCCAGTGTCAGCTCCTGAGCCTGGGCCTCCGTGGCCCCCAGAGTTGGTGTTAGCCCTGGAAACCCCCAGCATCCCATGGCCTGGAGCTTTGGCCCCCAAATGTCTCCAGGAGCAGCCTCTGCACTCTGGCTCCTGTCCTGGCCACAGTAGGGCTCCCGCTCCTTCTGCCTGTAGGGCCTTCTGTGGCCCTCAACAAAAGCCTCCGTAGACAGACTAGACAGTGGTCTCCTTCCTCTGCTCCCACCCTAGGGTCCCTGCTGAGGGCTGTGGGGGGAATGGGCAGGTTCCCTTCCCTGAACCATTTTAGTGAAAACTGAGAAGTAAACCTCATCTGCTTTCTCATCTGCTTTGTTTTGTTTTGTTTTTTGAGATAAGTTCTCCCTAGGTAGCTCATGTTGGCTGTGAGCTTGAAGATCCACCTGCCTAAGCCTCCCAAGGGCTGGAATTAAAGTGTGTGCCACCATGCCCAGCTAATATACATTGTTTTTTTTTTGTTTGTTTGTTTGTTTTGTAGTGCTGGGGATGGAACCCAGGGCCTTCTAACTGCTAGGCAAGCACTCTACCACTGAGCTACACCCCAACCCTCTCATCTGCTAATAGAACCTAGACTCTGTAGAAGACCACTCCTCTACCCCAAACCTAAACAACTATGTGGACACCTGGACACACACACACACACACACACACACACACACACACTCACACACAGAGCCAGACCCCAGCAGGCATCTCTTGCTGGGATTTGGTGACCACAACCTTGAGCAAGGTGTCCTGAGCCTCCTTACCTGAAAGCTATGGGAGGCCAGAGAAGGGCCTGTCATGGGGGCTGAGGGTGCAGGGGTGTACCACAGGCTGGCTCTCACCTCACAGGAGCTCTCCTGCCTCCCCCAGGGCTGGACAGACACTGAGGCATGGGGGTCTGCCCAGCAAGCAAGTGGACGGCCCCCTTGTGGCATGGGCCTGGAAGGCTGGGAAGCCAGGGCCCATCCCAAGGCCCAGGAATGGGAAGCTGAGACTCCCGGAAAGGTGATTGGGCTAGACACCTGCCAATTTGTAAAGGGGAGGGAATGGGGGCCAGTAGGGGCTTGTTGTGGTGGGCGGGCCTGAGGGTTTCTGGAAATCACTGGGTCCCTGCACCTCCCAGTTTTCCCCTCTCCTGCTTAGGGGTGGCTGGGACCGTTCTTGGGTGTGTCCACGTGCGACCAAGTGTGCTGGGGCTGTGTGCCAGGACAGATGCACAGCGTGTGTATACGAGTGTGTGTTCATGAAGATTTGTGATCTAAAGCCACAGAGCATAACTTGTGCATGTGTGTGACAGGACAGATTGTGCCCCAGGGGTCTGCTGTAGGCTGAACCTGTGCCGGTGTTTTGACGACGTGCCCCTCTCTGTGTGACCCCAGGGCTGACGACTCTGGGGGCGGGGCTGCGGGCTTTGGACACCCTGAGAGCAGGATGTCGCCAGAACACTTGTGGCTATTAAAAGAAGGCCAGCTGTCGGCCCAAGTGCCTATGGAACGGAATGTGGATGGTGATTAGAGAAGCCGATTCTGGAATGCTGGAAATGCCATGTGCTTAGGGCCTGGACTCCCACCCTGCTGACAGCTCCCCCTTGCCCTCTGCTCACCCCCACACAACACACCAGGCTGCCACTTGGGCACCCTGGGGCTTCCCCAGCCAGCCAGAGCCACAGCTGCATCCTGCCTTCCAGCCCTGGTCTGCTTCACGGTTGTCCACTAAGGGGGAGCCCAGGGCTGCTTTCTGTACTGGGGGAGCCCCTGTCACCCCCAGCATTCCTGGCCCCAGCACCACTCCCGATCTGGGGCCTGGGCTGTATGCACAGCCATGGGGGCCAGGGCAGAAGCCCGGCAGTGACCCCAAGCTGTGAACCCCAGCAGACAATGATAGATGTCATGGTGTCCATCCTGGGGCCAGGTCAGCTTGTGGCACGCCTGGGGCCTTCCATGGTGTCCGGGCAGGGGTTGTTGAGCAGAGTGAGACTGCAGGGAGAAGCTGCCAGAGGAAGTTGATGGCACAGAGGGGAAGGAGAAGCTCGGCAGGGCAGCAAGGCTGACAGAGGACAGTGGAGCCCACACAGTATAGGAGGAGCAAGAGGAGAGATGGCTGGAGGGTGGCCATGAGCAGGAGCCTGGGGACATCAGGCTCAGACTCCTTTGAAAGGCAGTCCCCGAGAAGGCCCTTCCCAACCTGCAGCAGCCTGCCCCTACCATGCAGCCTCTGCTCGTGTCTCTGTGACCCAAACGCCAAGGGTCTCAGGGGACTCTGCACTTCTGGATGAACAGATGTGTGTTGTTTGTTTTCAGACCAAGGGCCGGCTCCCCAGCCTGGATCCCCAGATGTAGGATGCTGGCTGGCCCTCCCTCCTGTCGGACACATCCAGCCCCACCAGCCCGCAGGCTTTGTCACCCATGCTGCGCTGGAGTCACAGCCCCAGCCTTGCGTTCCGCTTCACACCACAGAAGTCCTGCCTGTGTGGCCTGCGTCCTTGTGTCCCAGCTCTGCAGCCCTCTGCCGCCAGCAGCTGCCACCTCTGCAAACATACAGGAACACACTGCTGTTTATGAGCCATGCATCTGGCCAGGCTGGGCACTTCAGTGGCCTAGGGCGGGGGCAGCACTACCCCTCCCACCAGATACAGCCTCCCTGTGTATACTTCCCCACCCGACCCCCACCTGAGCCATCCCCTGGTGGCCCACACTTGCATGCACAGAGTGCTATAGGTACCAATTTGCATGCACACCAAGTCCTGTGGTCTGTGTCACATCAGTGGTCCAGGTTCACCCTGAACTGGGGGGCTGTGACAGGGGTAGGAAATAAAAAGTAGAGACGCTCTCTGCCATATTTGGTATGGACCTGTGGGGCTGGCAAGGGGAGGGAGCCCGCCCACCCAGCCTCAGTGCCTGCAATATCATCTGTCCTCCTCTCCCGGGTTCCCGCCTTGGGACTTGCACTCCTGAAGGCCCATTGCCAGCTTTGAGGGTGCAGAGTAGTGTTGGGGGTCAAGACTAGAGATGGCCCAGCCCCGCTCCCCAGGGAATTCTGAGCCCCACTCAGCCTGAGGACACCAGCTGCTCTCCAGCTGGCTTGGGCTTCCTCTAGGGGAGGCAGATGGAGGGAGGCTGGCCTCTGCCTTTAAGAGCATCTGGGCCACCTCCGCCTTTCCCTAGAGGCCAAAGATGAGCCTGTGACTTGGGGCTCCAGTGACAGTGACAGCCTTTATCAGCTCCTCAGTGAGCTGGCTGTCCCAGCAGTGGTCACCCCCTGCTCCCCAGCTGGGCAGAGTGGAGATGCCTAGAGTTAGGGACAGATGGCGTAGGGCTTCGGGGGGCACAGGGCAAGGGATGAAAGAAGGATGGGGTACTGGCCTCCTGGCTAGGACAGGTGGGGCTGCGTGACACAGAGCAGAGGAGGCGGTGACATGGCCTGGGGGAAAGAACATAGGTCCCTGCCTGGCTTCATCCATTTGCTATTTTTGTGACCTTGGGCAAATGATCAAGCAGCCCAGTAGCACAGACATCCTACATGCACGTTGTGTGTGCCAGGCCCTCCATGAGGCTGGGGTCTGGCCAGAGCCCACTCAGCTTCCCTGAGTCTCAGTTTCCCCAGCCCAGGAGACAGCCTGTGTCTTGATCTCAGTCAGTCCAGACCCCATGGGCCCATGGTCTCTCATGGGCCACCTTGATCCACAGCCCACACTGGCAGGAGTCCTGAGGGGCAGTGGGCTGAGCATGCCTCACCAACTTTCTCTCTGTGCTGTGCCCCGGCAGCAAGCAAGTAGCCATTCCTCCCTCCCCTTGCCCTGCTATTACTGTGCAAAGGGCACAGGGCCTGGTGTGTGTGCTGGCAGCTGCAGCTTTCCATGCTACTGTCAAGTTTTCCAGGGCACAAATGAGACAGGAGAACCAGGAATAACCAGCCTGGCCCCAGAGGGTCGGGGTTGGGGGTGCCCCAGACCTGCCTTCAGACTCTGTGCCCAGGCACATGGTGGCCCTACACCCTGAGCCAGAGCTCCATGAGGCTCTGCAGCCACTGGAACTCCATCCTTTGTCAGGAGTCCCACTGGAATGACCCAGGCTCCAGGGTGGCCAGGGTCCACTCCCTGTGTGGAGGAGCCATTTAATCTCTATGAGCCTTGAATCCTACAGGCCAAAGTGGCAGCCTCTCTGGACCCAGGGATTGTAGTGTAAAAGCTCCCGTGATGAGCTAAACCATGCCCAGAGGTACTTCCGTGATGTGGGGTTTTTGTCCATATGGGGGTTTGAACCCAGGACATTCACATGAATTACACCCCCAGTCCATTTATTTATTTAGCATTGGAGATTGAATCCAGGCCTCCTGCATGCTAGGCAAATGCTCTAACACTGAGCCACATCCCTAGCCCAAGTGTGTGTGTGTGTGTGTGTGTGTGTGTTTTGAGGCAGGTCTCATTGTGCAGTTCAGGCTGACCTTGAACTCACTATATGTACCCCAGGCTGGCCTTGAACTCTTGGCAATCCTCCTGTCTCAGCATCCCGAGTGCTGGGATTAATGAACCACCATGCCTGGCCCGTATTATTTTTTTATTTTGAGACAGGCTCTCACTACATTGCCCAGGCTGGGCTTGAACTTGTGTTCCTCCTGCCTCAGCCTTCCAGAATGTATATGATCATTTTTATGGCTGGACAACCAGGGTTTGATTGCCAGTCTCCTGAGCTGAAGTTTTTTTCCAGACCTGCTGGAGGCTGAGCTCAATCTGAAGCACCCACTGCAAGGGTCCCACACTGGACAACTCAGCTCAGCTTAGGGTCCTGGCCAGGGTGCAGCAAGACCCTGCCCGAGGGAGCTTAGAGTAGGGTGTTGGGGTGTAGGGGCTCTGCAGAGAGCAGAGGGAGGCCAGGGCATTATCCTTACCTGGCGAGGCCTCCCTTCCTGCCTGGTGCTGGACACCCCTCCCCAGGGGCTATATTAGCCGAGTGAGTCACGGTGGCTGGCCAGGCGGGCACAGTGTAGGGTTACAGTCCATTTATGGGCGCAGCAAGGGCAGATATCTGTGTCGATGGCATTCGGTCCCGCTATTCTTAGGAGCCTCCCAGCAGCTCTGCACAGCCCAGGCAGGGAGCGAGGGACACAGCAGGCAAGGCTGGGGGCCGGGGCCTGGGGGCAGTGGCAGGAGCGGGCTGGGGTGGTGGATATGTGTGCATCCTGACTCTCCCAACCCTCTGTCCCCAGAGGCAGCTGCTGTCAGCACCAGCATGTCTTACAGCGTGACCCTGACTGGGCCTGGGCCCTGGGGTTTCCGTCTACAAGGGGGCAAGGACTTCAACATGCCCCTCACCATCTCTCGGGTGAGTGCACTACACCCAGAGCCTGGCACCCCTGGGGGCAGGGCTACTCGAAGAGGACGTGTGCGTGTCTGTCCCTCTGTCCTGCTGGGGCTCCTGGAGAGCAGATATACATACACACACACACACACACACACACACACACACACACCAGTCTGAGGGGTGGGACTGGACTGGTATCCTGATCTTGTCCATGGCTGGAGTTTGCCCGCCTAGGCCCATGTGCTGGGGTTGACTCACAGGGGCAAGGCATGGGGGCAGGGGACGGGTGGTTTGTTTTTTTTTTTTGATACTGGGGATCGAACTCGGGACCTTATACTTGCGAGGCAGACGGTGGAACCACTGAGCTAAATCCCCAGCCCAGGATAGGTGTTTTGAGCTGAGTGGGAATCACTGAGCTTGCAGAGCAGATGGGCAGGTAGACAGACAGGGCAGCACCCTCCTAAGCCTGCTCCTGGCAGGACGGGCTCAGGCTGCTGAAAGTTAGAGCCCCTCCTCTGACACGGGTAGGTGCTTTGGGAAAGTATCATTCCTGGTCTGGTCAGGGCAGGTGATGGTCAACGGATGGATGGACAAACAGACTGCAGCCCTGCTGTCCTGGTGGGGCCTGGCTGGACTGGTGACTGGGCTCCCCCACCTGCCCTTTCTCTCCCTAGAGCCCTGGGCTCATGGGGGTCCCACGCTGGCCAGCTCACTGGGCTTCCCACCTTCTCTGGCTTGGGATCCTGGGTCCCCAATCTGTCCGAGGTCTTTTCCCCCACATCAGCCTGGGGAAGCAACCCCTGGATCCTGCGGTGTCTGGTGGAAGAGCCTGGTGGGCGACACAGGTCATCAGGGGTTTCGAGGGCTGCTGCTGTTGCACTGAGACCCAGAGGGGCCAGAGCCAGCCTTTCCTGAGACAAAGGAGGAGGGGCTGGGGTTCAATATTGCTACAGTCCCAGCACCTGGGCACCACCTAGAATGCAGTGGGTGCCCAGTCAGTACTAGTCAGATGAAGGCCCCAAGGTGGAGGGGCACCCCCTGCCTGGTGTCTGAGCCCTGGACAGTGCTGATGGGGCAGACAGTGGCAGGTGAGACCCACACTGTTGCTGGAGGGTGTGGGAGGGCAGGTGCCTAGGTTGCTTGCCCCCCGGAGGCAAAAGGACAGTTTCTTCCCCCCAGCAGCAGAGACTTGTGTGGCCGGGGACGGCACTGCGTTGAGCAGTGGGGAAGGCTCAGGAGATGCTGGCCAATGTCCCCAGAGGAGGGTGATCTTGGCTTTGGAAACTGTCATGGGCACTGGAGCAGGTGAGAAGAGAAGACCCCTGAGGGCCCAGGCAGCCTGGGAATGGCCACAGAGTCCCCAGCCGGGTGGTGGCCTTGCTCTCCATCCTTCAACAAGAACCTGGCATCTCCCCTCCCTCCGGGCCTAGTGCCCTGGCGACCACAGGGTCCCTGAGGAAAGGACACCGCAGCCTGTGTCCCCTCCTTGACGTGGTGACATATGGGCATTTGAGCCTGGTGCTCACCCCCACCCAGACCTTGCAGAGTCCCTGTCACCAACTGGGTCTCCTCCTTGCATGAGGTGGAGTCTCATGGGCCCTCACTGCCACACCAGGGACTGTGCCTTGTCCCCCGGCCCCACTGTCCTCGAGGCTTGCTGCCGTTGCTTGGCCCCATCCCAGCTCAGTGGCACCCAGGATAGCCAGTGACCTCACCCAGGACCTATGTGCCACCTGGCCCTGGATGGCCAGGGGCTTAAATGGCAGCACAGAGGCCTTAAGCAAGATGGCAGAAGAATGTCCTCCATTGGAGACGGGCTGTGTCGAGATGTGCCACAGCCAGAGACAGGGGGACTTTCAGAAATAAAACCCAGCAGGGCATGGGCAGGGCTTCCCCTGGGACATGCCCTGAATCACCTGGGCCAGGAAGCAGGGTGGCCTGGATGCTGGAATCCTCCCCAGAACTTGAAGTCCCTTGGAAGAAGCCAGTGGTGGGCCATGGATAGCATGGCCTTGGGCAGCTCTGGAGACACCTTGCACGGTGGCATTTCTTGCCTGGGATCACAAAGCCCTCTGAACCAGGAATGCCCCCACAAGGGGGTGCCAAGCCAGGCACCCTGGAGGAGCACACTGCCACCTCAGCCAGGAACTGGTCCTCACAGTGGCTATCGGATGGCATTCAACATCCCAGCCTGAACCTCTGTTGCAGGTCCTGGGACCTAAGCCCTGGGAACATTCCCATGTCGCCTAACCTAGCCAGATGGGGCTTGTGTGATGTGTGGGACAGAGGTGGCAGTGTCCTGGTGCCTGGTGGCCTGGTCCACAGCCAGAAGACTGGAAGAAGCTGACCTATCTCAGCTGCAGGTGCAGCAGCTGCTCTGCCTGTAGCTGTCCCCTGCAGGCTGAGTGGTAGCCGTCTCCAAGCCACCCTAGGGTGGTAGAAGCCCCTGCAGACTGCTCTGTATCGGGGCTAGGGAGGGTGTGGGGAAATGCCTTTATTTATCCTGGACAGGTGCACTGGCTACAACCTGAGCTGCCCTCTCTCCTCCATGAGGCAGGGATCCATGAGGGGGTGGGGAGCAGGGAGCTGCTCAAAGGCCCAGCCCCCACCCTGCAGGCAGGGTCTGGGTTACCCCACACCTTAGAGAAGGGGCATGCGCGTGTGCTCAGTGCTGCTACCCTCAGCCAGTGGCGCCTACCGGCCTCAGTTTTCTCACCTGTAAAAGGGGGGCAGTGCCTTCCACGCATGTGGGAGAGCAGACATGCAGCCAGGCTGCTGGGCTGAGCCTAAATCCCTGACCTCATCCACCCTACCTGGCAGCCTCTGCCCTTCTGTTGGTTTCAGTTTCAGTATTTATGGGACTCTCTCTGCTAAGGTGCTGAGAACAAAGGATCCTCAGGAGAGTGAGGAGGACAGGCTAGACTATTCTGGGTGGCCATGCTGGCAATTCCTGGAATTTCTAGGCCATGGGAGCTCTCCTGCCATCATGCTGCTCCTTGGGCAGCACCCCTAGGTGCTGACAGGTGTGCTGTTTATAGCCAAAGAGTGGCAAGCTTGGCTCCAGCCCCCAGACCTCTAGCAGCAGGGAGATAAGGTGCAGCCGAACTGCTGAGTCCTCTGGCCAGGCCCACCCTGTTGCTTAGAGTGTGGAGTGGACATCAGGTCCTAGGGGTGGAGAGCAGAGTCCCACGGGGCACTCCAGCCCTCCTGTTCCCCAGTGCAGCTTCTCCATCCTGTCAGAGCTGGGAACTACCTCTACCCTCAGGGATGTCCTGGGAGGCGTGATCCAGCTTTTCTGGGGCCCCAAAAGGCAGGGGCAGATGCACAGGGAACATCTTACTGTCCACACCCAGGACCCCGATGGAATGGTGGCCGGGTTGGGAGGAGGACCGGAGAGGGACAGCGGCCAGCCCTGGAAAGGAAGGGAGGCTGTGCACAGACACAGCGGTGACCCAGGCTTTGGACAAAGAGGGGTGACTGGAGAGTGAGGCCGCAGTGGCTCCAGGACCTATGGGCCACTTCTCAGGGAGTCTGGAGGTGAAGAAGGGAGAGAAAAGACACCGGCACCAGTTGGAGCAGAGTCGGAAGGAACTCTGGCTTATTCCTGGGCCAGGGTGGAACTGGAGCCTGGAGGGACAGAAGGTTGCAGGGAGAAGGTGGGGGCAGGGCGCAGCCTCAGGGGAGGCCAGATGGGAAAGGAGCAGGCTTGGCCCACTAGTAATTTAATCACTTGCTGTTCACCCCCAGAGGGCCGGGACGGGGAGTGACAGAAGGCCCCTCTCCTTGCTCGAGCTACCTGCCCTATAAGGGCCCTGCCATACCTGGCAAACTCAGCAGAGGAGGAGACAGGGGGCTGTCTGCTTTTGTTGTTTGTTTTGTTTTTTTGAGACAGGATCCATCTGTGTAATCCAGGCTGGGCTTGAACTCACTAATGTAGCCCAGGCTGACCTCGAACTCATAGTGATCCCCCTGCCTCAGCCTCCCGAGTGCTGGGGTGACAGGTGTGCACCACCACACCTGGCTTGCCTGCCTGCCAAAAAGGGCTGAGTGTGCTGTGGACCCCTTTGGCACCTTGTTCCCTCAGGACCTGGACAGACCTTGTCTATCCCTGGCCCCTGTAGGGACAGCAGGCTGGCTTGGACTGAACTGGTTATCATGGGCTGACCCCTTGCATCCCACCCTCTCCCCCACGGAGCCTGGGGTACATCCTCTGGCACATCTAGAGGGAGGGACAAGCTGACATTTGAGTATCCTCGGTTGAGAGGCTCCGTAAACTTCTCAGCCTTGCCCTGTCCTTAGTGGTGCCCTGTTTCACGCTGTAATCCGAGTACAATCCCAGGAGAGGCTTCCTGGGCCTCCACCACAGCAGCCTGGATTGGCTCATTCCAAAATCCCTCCTGGGCACGCCCAGGTGGCCCTGCTACCACCGGAGGTACCCCAGGACTGTGGCCCAGTGAGGCAGGTGGATCCCTGGCATCTGAAAACCAGAGTCTGCCTCAGCGCCTCGCTCTGGGGCTTTTCCAGCCTCTGCCCAGGCCAAGATTGAAGAGAAAGCTGGAAAACAAAGTGGGAGCCAGACACGCTTTCCAAAGAGCATTTTAAATGCTCCAAGGGGGATAGAAAGATGATTCGTTTGTTTGGTTTGAACCCAGGGCCTTTGCACCCCAGCCCTTTTTTATTTTTTGAGACAGGATCTTCCTAAATCTCTAAATTGTCCAGGCCAGGCTTGAACTTTCTCCATCCTCCTGCCTCAGCCTCCCAGACTGCTGGGAATACAGGCAAGTGGTACCATGCTCAGCAGAAAGACTGTTTTCTTTAAGAAACAAAAACCCTGCAAGGATATGGGTGTGTTGAGTCTTTTCTGGAATAATGTCAACAGAGAGAGGGGAGGAGAGTCGGATGAAAGATACAGGAGCCTGTGGCCAGTGCCAAAGGCGCCACCCCAGCCCCAAGCCTGGCAGTCTGCTGGAGATAGGATGGCTCTGGGCTGCTCCTAGGTCCCTGCCTCCCACCCACTCTTCTCCAAGGGCCCTGGCAGGACAGAAGAGCAGCTCTCCAGAAGAGGACTACTACCCCACCCCCACCCGGGGACACCGGGGCAGCCAAAGGCCAGGCCAGCTGTGCCCTGACAAGCAGGCACAGGTGCAGGGAGAGCGGCGCCGGGGCTGTGGGAGCTCGGCGGCTCCCCTCTGGGGTGTCTGGCCACTGCCCAGGCCCAGGAGGCTGAGTCCTCCCAAGGGATGAGGTGCGGGGCAGGAGGTGGAGGGTAGGGGGTGGCAGGCAAGCTGGCCCTGCTACCAGAGAAAGTGTCCCGGGCAGCCTGAAGGGGGTGCCCGGAGGGCCTGACTGGCCCAGCCGATTGCGCCCAGGCCCTCTGGATGTCATTCAGGTGCCCTCACTCACTGTCAGTGTGATCCTGTTAAGTCCCTTCTGCCGTTGCAGGCACCATCTTCTGTGTGAGACCTGCAGCTGCTCCCTCCCCTGCCGGGCTTTCTGCTTCAGGGGACACCCTTCTGTGGGGATGGCCTGTGATGGAGTGTCCTGTTGGGAGGGCAGACCCTAGGATGGCACAGGCATTGGAAAATCTAGCCCCAAGAGTACCACACACTTGTCACAACATGCTTTGAAATGGCTCTACAAATGGATTGGTGAGCCGGGCATGGTGGTCCACGCCTATGACCTGAGCACTTAGGAGGCTGGAGCAGGAGAATCACCAGGAATTTGAGGTCAGCCTGGGCTACGTAGTGAATTCAAGGCGAGCCTGGACTACGGTGTAGTGACCATGTCTCAAAAAAACAAATCAAATAAAGCAATGGGTTAATGAGTGGACAGCCAGACCCATGCGTGTCATGAGAAAGCCAGGTAGTGGGTACCTGGGGGTTTCATGTAGAGTTGTCTCCGCCTTTTCTGTACTCACAGACATCTCTACCAGTTTGTTGGGAACAGAATAGTGCCACAGGGAAGCCAGAGGGCAGGACCCCTTGGCCTAGCAAGCACTTTGTTTTTCTTTGTTATTGGTTTTTTCCCTCTGTTCTGGCCAGAGAGCACCCTTCTGTCACCACTCGAGTCATGCAGGGGCAGGCTATCTCTGGGGCAGGCTGGGGCTTGGGGACTGCAGGCTGCCTTGGCCTGGTGGGCACTTTCCGAGAGGGGCCTGGTGGGAGGCTTCCATCCACGTCCAAAAGCCCAGGCCTGGCTGGAGGCCTTCCCAGACATGGCACGTGGGGTGTGGGACGGTCCCCAGGTCCTCTCTGGGTACCTTCTAGGATCGTCGCCAGATCATAGCCAGAATTTGGCTTCTGCCAGCTTGAGGAGCTGGCCTTGTCCCCAGCCAGGAAGGTGACTGGGATGTCCCCGTGAAGTCAGAAGTGACTGTGGGTGTGTTGGGGAGGCAGAGCCAAGGTCACCCCCCAGCCCTAGCTGGGTAGGGGCCTGCAGAGCTTCCTCTCCTGTAACCTGCATGTCCCCCACATGATGCCAGGGACTTCCAACATGGTACTGTGGGAGTCGGGTCCTAAAGTCATTCTGTGTGACATCAGCTCATGGGTGGAGCTGGAGTCTCCATGATGTCCTATGAGGTATCTCTAGGGATGGGGCTAACCCTCTAGGGACTGTCACAACGAGCCACAACCTTCACAACCCAGCTATTGCTGGGGGCCAGTTGTTCCAAGTATAGCATTGTGTATGATGCCCTTGGCAGTCCCACCTGAACAACTGTGGCTTCCCAAGTAATTTCCCAGGGCTGGTGGCCTTTCTGATACCTGTGGGTGTCCCTGGATGAAATCTCAGTGGCCTCTGTGTGGTCACATCGGACTCGGTGATGACCCAGGGTGCAGGGTTTGTGAGCTCTCGACCACACTGGTGCTTTCCCTTCGGGAGACAGAAAACTGATGGGAGCCTGGCCTCTCCCCATTTCCATGCCAGCCTTGCTCCCCCAGGCTGGTGCTGCCATTGTAGCACAAAGCAGCTGGCACAGATGCCTTTGTATGGGTGCATTGTCCTATGTGCTGGCCCAGCAGCACCTCTGGGGTGCTGGGTCTTGGTTCCTACATCTCCTTCCCTCCTGGGCCACAAAGCATTCTGTGGATCTGCAGGGTACAGGGCCACAGTGGGCTAAGCTGTGTAACAAACAGCCCCAAACCTCATCGGCTCCTCACAGTAGAAGTTTGTTGCTCGTGCCCTGTGCCATGCGGTGCTCCTTAGCTCTCCTCCAGACAGTGATTCAGGTTCTGGCCCCTGCAGTCAGCAGCTTAGCTATCGCCCTCTGTCCTCAGCATCAGCCAGCCAGCCAGCCGAGTGCAGGGTCCCAAGGACATCACCAAGGGCTGACATGGGAGTGCATTTCTTCCACATTTTTAAACCCGCCAGAACCAGGCCCATGGCCACAGCCAGGGCCAAAGTTCAAGGAAACTGGCCAAAGGGAATGAAAGGTGCTACAAGGGGGGGGGTGGAGGTGACTAGAGCCCCAGGGGACTCTTCCCTGAGGACCAGCACATCCTCAGGGCCAGGACCTCAGGCTCACTCCCTTCCTCTGTCCAATCAGATCACCCCAGGCAGCAAGGCAGCCCAGTCCCAGCTCAGCCAGGGGGACCTGGTGGTGGCCATTGAAGGCGTCAACACAGACACCATGACCCACCTGGAGGCCCAGAACAAGATCAAGTCCGCCAGCTACAACCTGAGCCTCACCCTGCAGAAGTAGGTGGCCACCCTGCAGAATGAGGGCAGGGGCTTGGGTGCCAGAACAGGGAGGGGACATGGGAGGGGGGACCTAGGCAGGTGTTGACCCTGCCCTGCAGCAAAGAACCGGGCCCCAGGCATCCACAGGCTCCTGCTCACATGACAGATGTGGCCCAGTGAGGGTGACCTCGGTGCCACCAGTGTTTAGGCAACTGGGCCCAGAAGCCAGGGGCTTCCCTGCTTTCTGTTTGCCAAGCAGCCCCCAAGGGCAGAGCAGAGGCCCATGGTCCTGACCAAAGTGCCCAGGGCCCAGTGCCCGTCCTGGGGAGACCCAGCACATGTGTCCTCTGGCCCCGCTGCCCAGCTCTCTTGCCCTCCCCATGCGAGCCTTTTCCAGGTGGAATCTCCCACCCTGGGCCTGACTGTCCTCACTGGGCCCCATTTCCGGTTTCTCTAGGTCAAAGCGTCCCATCACCATCTCCACGGCGGCACCTCCAATCCAGTCCCCGCTGCCGGTGATCCCCCACCAGAAGGTAGGTGCTGAATGTCACTACCCCGAGCTATGGGCCTTCCTGCCTGCCACCAGGCTGCTAGGAAACTGGCCAGGGTGGCCGTGTTCTCCCTGTTCCTTTATGGCCAGTCCGGGAACAGGGTTCTAGACAGCCTCGACGCTCATCTGCCTATGGACACAGAGGCTGGAGTGACTGGCAGAGGCCCAGCTTGAGCCGGCCAGCAAGGAGCCACTTCCTGGCAGAGGGGGGCTAGGGCTCCATTTCCCATCTCTCCTCCCAGCTGCACACCCACCACCCCTCAGAAGCACCTTAGAGTCGGGCATGGGGGAGCACAGAGCCCTGACCCCAGAGACCTCCCCTGGAGGCCCTTCCAAAGGCCCTCTAAGCACCTTGACTTGCAGCCACAGAGGCCTAAGAGCCCTCCTCCTCCAGCCTGCCCCATCTCACCCTGCACTGGTCCCTGGTGGGTTACAGACTGGGAGACAGCAGAGGGGACCACAGACCCACCCTCAGCTTCCCCCTGCCCCACTACCCATAGCCAGCCAGGGGGCTGGCCCCAGCCACGGGGGCTTCTTAGCATGGGGTCACTGTATACGCAGGATGGCAGGGCTCCTACTGTGCCCTGCGTCCCACGCCCACCCTTGGCCCCAGGGTGTGAGTTAGCCTTGGCTTGGCTCTGCGCTCAAGGATTTGCATTCTGTCCAAGTGGACACCAGCTTCTGTTGAGACCTAACTCCTCCCTCCCCACAAAGCCCTTCCTTCCATGCCCCAGCTGGGGCCTGGGGGCTGCAGGTGGTAGGTGGCAGGCTGCCAGCTGCACTAACATGGGGTTCGAGTCTGTGCAGAAGCACTGGGCACGGGTGGCTCTAACCACTGTCTTCTCTCTCCCTGCATGGCACTGTCATGGGCCAGGACCCCGCTCTGGACACCAACAGCAGCCTGGTGGCACCCAGCCCCGAGGCGAGGGCCAGCCCAGGCACCCCAGGCACCCTGGAGCTCAGGGGCACCCTTAGCGCCTCCTTCTCTCAGACTTCCGTCTGCTCCACACACATGGAGGCCTCGGACCCCAGCCCTCTGTGGGCCAGCCCGGGGGCCACAGCCAGCCCAGAGGGGAAGCACGACCCTCGGGGCCTGAGACTCCTGGGGGGCCCAGGCCAGCCAAGGCAATATAACACCCCCATTGGCCTGTACTCAGCAGAGAGCCTGCGGGAGATGGCTCAGAGCTACCGGCTGAACCTCCGAGGGCAGCCCTCGGGTGCCGGACTCCCAGGAGGGTAGGTACCGGCACTTGTCCTCCAGCCAGGCCACTTCGGGCTTGGTGCTCAGCTGGGCCCTGAACAGGTCAGAGCAGGTCAGGGTGCCAGGACCCCCTTGCTTCCCACATCTACCCTGGAATGACTTGTCAGCTCTGTACAGAGGAGGAAACTGAGGCTCAGAGGAGGTCAAGTCTCAGAGGTGGTCCAGCAACTCAGTGGCCAGGCCAGCCCATGTCTCCTCCACGAGGGGTACAGGGACAAGCTGGTCCCCACATCTCTGAGAGCCCTGAGGAGGAACAGGAAAGGCAAGAGGGGAAGGGCGAGTTCTCTAGGCCTGGAAGCAGATGGTGAGGGCTACGTGGAGGAGGGGCCACGGGAGCATCCACAGCACGTCTGGTGATGAGGCTGACTTCCACCCTCGCTGTCTAAGAGCACACAGCTGATAACTGCTAGACAGGACTGGCAGCTCCTTCCTTCTTTCTTTCTTTTGTTTTTTTGAGACATGTTCTCACTGTGTAGCCCAAGGTGGCCTTGAACTCACTATGGAGCCCGGGCTGGCCTCAAACTCTCAGCGATCCTCCTGCCTTAGCTTCCTGAGTGCTGGGATCACAGGTGTGCACCACTGTGCCCAGCTTGAGAGTCCAGTATTTCTTGACAACCTGAGAGGCAGCATCAGTGCTGTCCTGCAAGGGAAGATGGGTCCGAGGAGGGAGAGAGTCAGTGGTTCAGCCACAGGAAAAGCTGAGGCAGTGGGGCAGCTCAGTGGGAGGGGCTGGGTCCTGGGCCAGATTGGGCCTTGCCTTTTCGGCACGCTCTGGTTTCTGCATCCATTCCTGGCACCCTTGCTCTGTGCTTAGGGCTCTGAACTCAGTATCACTCTCTGCATAGCCCATCCATGTGGTGGGCACCACCATGGGAATGTCAGGAATAAGGAGATGAGTAGAGACCCACGGGTAGCTCAATGGGAAGAGGAGGGCTCAGGGTTGAACATTGTCTGCTCCAAGGAAGCCCCTTCCCTCGCTCCCCTGGCTTCTGGCAGCTGTGTCTGGCGAGAGGCATGGAGAGGAAGCTTTGGGAGGCCAGGGTGCCCCCCACCCACCCACCCCACACTGAAGCGCAGCTTCCATGCCTCTTCAGCTCCTCTGAGCTGCTTCTGCTGCCTGTGGTGGCCCAGCCCGGGGTCCTCAGCAGGAGACAGGAATCCGTGCCAGAGGCAAACACTGACCCCTGCAGGGAACACGGCTGCTCGGGATGGCACTGACCCTGCAGCTGTTAGCAGCGGCCAAACATGGAGAAGGTTGAGTGCTCTGGCCCTTTCCTAATATAACTCTGCTACAGCTATTTTGAGCTGGGTGGACAGAGGGAATTTTATCAGCCTTGAGACTGAGGGGGGCCTGGACTCTGGTGTCATTGGCTTCCCAGGGACCTGGCTGTAGGGTGACCAAGGCCAGACCAGTTGGGGGTCAGCTCTCCCCAGAAAAAGCCCATGGTGGGCAGATCTGGGAAGGCGGTGGAGTTTGGGGACACAGCCCGCTGCCTGCTGTGCTCTCCCTCTTGTTTTCCAGATGTGGCCAGGGTCTGTGCTACAGGAGATTTGCATGGGGGCAGGGGACAGGATCTCACTCTGTAGTCCAGTCTGGTCTCGAACTCACTATGTAGCTCTGGCTGGCTTCAAACTTGTAGGGATCCTCCCGCCTCAGCGTCCTGAGTGCTGGGATTATAGGCATGTGCTTCCACACCTGGCAGGGAATTTGCCTTTAAACAACTGTGATTTAGACCATGAGACCCTGTGCTCCAAGAAGTTCGCCCCAGGTCTGTGTCAGGGGCAAGGTCTCACTCAGTGTCCAAACTGGTTGCCCCTGTTGGGCCCTTTCCAGCCATAGGCCTTGGACCCCACCCCTCCAGAGCCTGCTCATATGGTGCTCTGACTTTGTGGCTGTCCACAGAACTCTGAGCAGTGCTTGCTGGGGAATGCGCCTGACCCCTGACCCCTGCATCCACGAAGAGTGGCCAAGATTGTGCCTGTGAGCAGGACTAAGTCCAGAGCTGGGTGTGGCCAGGAGGCACTGGGATCTTGGCTCTTCCCATGCAGCTGCCGTGCTCCCATCTCCACCCTCAGCTTCCTCTTGAGGGTCTAAGTTAGGCTGTCTGGGGGGCATGGGTGCCCGGTTGGTGGACGCACAAACCTTGTCTCTCTGGCGAAGCTGAGGGCACCAGGGCCAGCTCAGAGGGGACCCCATGGGGTCCAGGAGGCCAGGATTCTTGCCTCCAATGCACTCCATCCCTCTTCTCCTCACCCAGTGCAGTCTGGGCCAGTGCCACCTCTGCTTCGGCCATTCTGATGGTCCTGGCACTCTGATCCCCGAGCCCCACTCTGACTGCTGTCTTCTCTGCCCTTCTCTCCACCCAGGTGATAGTCAACTCTCCAGCCAAGTTAGTACCGAGCATGGTGTGCACCGGGTACCCTTGCATGTGTGCGTACGTGTGTGTGTGTGTGTGTGTGTGTATGTGTGTGTGGCATGAGCAGTGTGCACTTGGGGCATGTGTCCATGTGTACACACATGCGTGTGTGCACGTGTGAGTGGGGCTGCATTGGTACCCTGGATGAGGCTGCACGGGCGTGAGCTGGTCTCAGCTGCTAAGCATTGCGGAGAGCGGTATCTGTCTGCAGCCTCAGTTTCCATCTCAGTTTCCTGCTCCAGCTGCTTCAGTGCAGGCTGGCTGGGGGGAGGGGTGGTGCCATGCTGTCTGTCGCTGCTGGGGCCTGTGTGAGCCTGAAGACCTCTGTGTCCCAGAGGAACCCCCTCAAAGGGACTATGGACTGGTCTTCGGGTGGAAGAGCTGGATGGGTGGAGGCTGGAGCCACACGGTGAACTGGACTGGAGTGTGAAGCCTCAGACAGAGGCCTGGAGGACAAGCCCAGCCCTGGAAGGGCGGCTGCTGGAGGACCCTTTGTGAAGGAACACTGCTCAGCACCCTGCGGGCGCCCGGAGCCACTGCTGCTTTTCATGTTAGAGGAGACATTCTGGACTCAGCTTGCAGCGCTGCCTGTCAGATGGCCTGACTCCTGTGCCCTGGCCCCGGCCCATGCTCCCTGTCCCCTTTGTCTCTGCATCTCTCAGGGTGTAGTGGGAGATCTCTCCAGCGAGGTGCCCTGTGGACCCCAGGAGGCAGTCCCCGCTGAGCCAGAGCCTGCAGGGATCTGGGGGCCTGGAAAGACAAGAATTGATGGTGCACACCTGTGATCCCAGCACTCTGGGAGGCTGAGGCAGGAGGATAGCAAGTTTGAATCCAACTTGGACAACTTATCCACTTAGTGAGACAGACTCTGTCTCAAAATTTAAAAAAAATTTTTTTAAAGAGCTAGGGATGTAGCTCAGTGTGAAGGCTCTGGGTTCAATCCTTAGTACTGAAAAACAACAAACAAACACCTCCTATCCTGGGCCCTGAGGTGCCGAGGATTTTCCTGATCAGATCTGGCCACCCACAGCAGGGAGCTCAGGGATCCTCCTTGGGTCAGGCCTCTGCTGCAGGAGATCTGCATACCCCTACCTCCCCAGCCCCTGACCTCCCATAACCACACCTGCACCTTCTTCTCTCCCTCCCTGCCCTCCCCGCCTGGCCCCTCCTTGCCCTTCCCAGTGCCGACTACCAGGAGCGCTTCAACCCCAGTGCACTGAAGGACTCCGCCCTGTCTACCCACAAGCCCATCGAGGTGAAGGGGCTGGGTGGCAAGGCCACCATCATCCATGCACAGTACAACACGCCCATCAGCATGTACTCGCAGGACGCCATCATGGACGCCATCGCTGGCCAGGCCCAGGCCCAGGGCAGTGACTTCAGTGGGTAAGCGCCGTGGAGGCCACTGTGGAAGCAGCATCGCCTATAGACACACAGTGTCGAGGTCTCCCGGAGCACGTCCCCAGGCTCCCCGTGGAGATGGGAGCAGCAGGAGACTTCTGCAAACCTCTCAAAGGAGCTCTAGAAGCCGGGCGTGGTGGCGCACACCTGTGAGCCCAGCACAGGGGAGGCTGAGGCAGGAGGATCATCGTGAGTTCCAGGCCAGCTTGGGCTACATAGTGAGCTTAAGGCAGCCTGAACTACATAGCGAGACCCTGTCTCAAGAAAACAAACTAAAAACTCAAAGGAGCTCTTGAGACCCCAGGTGTCTCATCATTCTGCTGCTCGTGGGGAGGATACTTGGTGGCTGCATCCTTCTAGGCCTGAGTCCATCCCAGTACACAGCTGGTTTCTTTCTTTCTTTCTTTTTCTTTTTCTTTTTTTGAGATAAGGTCGAGTTGTATAGCCCAGGCTGGCCTCAAACACATGGAGAGTCTCCTGTCTCAACCTCCAGGCAGATTCTCCAGCCCCAACTGGCAGGGCTGGTTTCTTGCTGGGAAGGGCCCTGGGACCAACAGCCTGGGGTTCTGTTGGCACTCAGTCCTGCTGATGGGCATCACATGTCCTTGGTTCCCAGATGTTGCCTGTTAGCTTTGGGTGGGGACTTTGGGGGTGGACTAGGGACAGTGGGACTCAAAGTCAGGGTGAGACAGCTTATAGTACTACCAGGGAAATGAGAGCTACCCTTCCTGTCTGTCTGTCTGTCTGTCTGTCTCTGACTTGAGGTCTTCCTCTGTTTCTGTCTCTTTCTGTCTCTGTGTGTTTCTCTTTCTGTCCTCCTCTTTCTTGTCTCTGCATCTCTTTCTTTGTGTGTCTTTCCTGTCTCTTTCCTCTTTCTCTTGCCTTCTTTGTGTCTATCTCTGGCTCTGTGTATCCCTCTTGGTTTTTCTGCTCTCTCTCTCTCTCTCTCTCTCTCTCTCTCTCTCTCTCTCTCTCTCTCTCTGTTGTCGTCCCTCACCATCTTCTGTCTGGGGATGGTACAGTGTGACTTACAGAGTGTGACTTACAGTCCTGGCTGATTGTCTCCTTAGGCAATCTCCAGGTGGGGATCCCTAGCAATATGGGACAAAAGTCTTGAGAGGTAGTTAAACTTTTCTGAAGCTGGGAGCACACACTGTGAGAGAATGGAGGGTGGAAATGTCCCAGAGCGCTCCTGCAGGGCTCGGTCCTTCCAGAGCCCAGCCTGGTGGCTGTGGCTGTCCCCAGCTTGCAGTTAGTTCCCAAGGGACAGGTTCCACAGGACTCAAACCTGCCAGCCCAGGGCTGTGGCTCTTTGGTGTTGATTTATTTAAATCCATCATTCAAAGCACCAAATACAACCATGCAAATTTAAAGGCACCCATTAGCTCACTCCTACCCTGCAAAGCAAGGCTACACCCTAAACTCAAGAGCAATTCCTGTTAATTCCAGCAATTTCCTGTTAACTGACTTTGCCTCATGGTGCTCCACACACTCTTAAAAGTGGTAGCAGCTGGACTAGGAATGTAGCTCAATACCACTGCGATTGCCTGGCAAACGCAAAGTCCTGAATTTGATCCCCAGTACTGAAAAAAAAAAAAAAAAGAAAAGAAAAATACTGGTAGCAGCTGCCAGAGACACAGATGATGGGAAACCACAGAAGAACTGCTTGTTGCTAATGTTTCTGCACCTTAGGAGACTGCTATCATTTGGTTTTGCTACTAGGATACCTTTGATCATGGGAATGATGCTCTGTTGATTAAGCTTCCTGAAAGATCTTTCCATCTCCCTCCTGTCTCCTTCCCTCCCCACCTGTCTCTTCCATCCATGCCTGGGAGGGACTGTCCTCCCCTTCCTTGCTGCTGTGGGGCCAACGGGGACCCTTCCCAGCCATAACGTGCTCCCATTTCTCCTGTCAATGTTCACAATTCCTTCCTTACTGACCGTTTTTTTTTCTCTCTCTCTTCCTCCTTCACCCATCTCACACCCCTAACTTGTTTCCACCCCAACCCGCTCTGTGTGCACCACTCATGATGGACGCACACTCCCGGCTGGGGTCCCCTCTGCTTGGCAGGGCATCACCGCTGGCGTAAGTAGATCCCACAGCGTCGATCCCATCATTGTCTGTCTGTCTGACTGTGGAATGTGTGTGGGTTTGGGTTTGGTGGGATCCATCCACATGCTCTGCTCACGTTCATCCTCATACCCAGCCAAATGTCACTCCAGGCGAGTGCTTGGCTTTGGGGATCAGCCCCATACCATTCTGTGTAGCTGCAGAAATCAGAGTAAGCCAGGTGTGGTAGTGCATGCCAGCACTTAGGAGGCAGGAAGATCACCTTTCTTAAGTGCACTGGGACCATATAGACCAGATGTGCATTTGGGTGACTCTGCAGTGCTCTCATGAGGATAGGTCTCTAGGAGACAGTGCATGCCAGGACTGCGCGCCCATGGGAGGTGAAAGATGCCTCCAATTTGGTAAAGGTGCACAGTGGGGTAAACACCACAGGGCACCTGACATTGTGGTGACCTTGTCTACCCTGGGCAAGGTGCACAAGCCAGGAGCGACCCTGGGGTGCAGAACTCCAGGGCAAATCCTGTCCTCTCTGTGTGTTTCCCAGAGCCTCGGAGTCTTGAAGGGGACGGTGGTTCCATCATTTGATGCCCAATCTCTGTTGCAGCAGTGAAACAAATTCTGAGTCTGCAGCAGGGTGGGAAGGAAGCCAGTGAGGCTGGGGGTGCTGAGGGGCTCCCTCCAGGTAGCTTTCTTGAGCTTGGAGCCAGGAAGATACAGGACAACTTCCTCCTGGGCTTGTGCCTGGGAAAGCAAATGCCTCAAATCTGCTCTCTTGAAGGCAAAGGGCTGTGTGACAAGCTTAAGTGACTGTCCTGGGACAGGAGGCCAATTCTCTGCCCAGGTCCTTGCAGAGAGAGCAGAAGACTTAGAAGAATGGGGATCCTCTCCCAACCAGGTGGCCTCCGGAGACCTGGAGGCAGAGGGTTCTGGGCAGAAGTGGCTTTCCTGAGCCTCTGGGACTGTGAGGGCCTAAAAAGACCCAGGGCGGGGATCCAGGAAGCCTATGTCTCACCTCAGTGGGAGCCCTGCCAGCTGTGACCTGGAGCTGGCCGGCTGACTCCTCTGGACCTCAGTTCAGGCCTCTGGAAGAGCAGAAGGTGGGGCCAGGAAGCTGTTACTGCACTGGCTTTTGCCTGGGCCACCCTGAGCTCTGAGAGGGTGGCTAGGGGCCTGGATTCCCTGGCGCTCTGGCAGAGTGATGGGCAGCTATAAAGCTTTGCATCCGTGCCTGCCCTGCAATGCATCTAGGCTGGGAGGCCCTGCAGTCCCTTCTGGATCTGACACAGGATTCATTCATTCAGTTAAGAATTAGGGGCACTAATGATGTGCCAGACCCCGGAATGTCTAGGACCCCCAAGGAGTCTAGGACCCCCCACAAAAGCTTTGCTGCTCTAGGGAAGAGGGCCCAAGGCCTGCAGGCAGCATGCACTCCAGCCTCCTGGCCCCAAGCTGTGAGCCCCATTGTCTTGCTGGCCATGCCAGCACCATGTGGGTCTGGCTGCCCCCAAACCAGGGCCTGCACAGGGAGGTGAAACAGCTTCACAAAGGCCTCCCTGCCTTCCTCAGAGGGGATCCCTCCCTAGGTGGGAGTGTTGTCAGGCCTGGAGTTAGCAGAGGAGAGGCTGACAGGGGGATCTGAGCTTCCTGTCCCCATGGATAGAGGGGTCACTGCCTCACTAGGAGCATGCTGAGCACCAAGGATCCCAGCCACACTGTACGTGTCCCAGGATCTCAGATAGTGGTGGGTGCGGAACAGCAGGGGGAGGGGGAGGCCCACAGGAGCCCCACCCTCACCTCTCTCTGCTCCCAGGAGCCTTCCCATGAAAGACCTGGCGGTGGACAGTGCCTCCCCGGTGTACCAGGCCGTGATCAAGAACCAGAGCAAGCCCGAGGATGAGGCTGACGAGTGGGCCCGCCGCTCCTCCAACCTGCAGTCTCGCTCCTTCCGCATCCTGGCCCAGATGACGGGGACGGAATACAGTGAGTGAGGCATTGGGCTGGGGCCACAAGGGCAAGGGTTTCATGGGATCCAGCCACCACCCTGAGGGTGGCCAGAGCTTGGGATCCTTAGCTGCCGGTGGGCCTCCTTCTGGGTCCCCCAGCAGATTGCCCCAGGATGGCAACCTTCTGATCCAGGTCCTGGTCCCCATCACCAGGAGCAGGCTTGTCATGCACCCTCCAGGCAATGTGACTGCCCAGGGCTGGGATGAGAGCACCTTGCAGGCTCTGAGGGCTCCCTTTGAATGTCATCGTGCCCTCTCCACCTCCAGCCTCTGCCCAGCATGCAAACTTCCCTTCCACGGCTGACAGGCTGGACCCAGGCAGTGTTCAGGGGCTGTCTCAATCCTGGCAATCCACTGTCCCCTAGCTCTGGTGACTTTTCTTCCTTATGCTCCCTGCATCCCTCTGACTGCCTACTTTTTTCCCACAGTGCAAGACCCTGACGAAGAGGCTCTGCGAAGGTCAAGGTAGGTGCTTGGACTCGGGCTCCATGGCTCGTTCTTTCCCCATCCCTCCCCGGCAGCCCCTGGTCACAGACTCACAAAGGGATCTCTCAAGTTCATGCATGTGCCACACCCAGCCTGCACAAGGCTCCAGCCATCACTGGCCCAGGTGCTGTCCTGGTCAGCAAGGTAGGAGTCTGGGGGGAGGCTCCATCCCCTGGCCAGGCTGCAGGAGCAAAGACTCTGGGCTCTCCTGGCTCTGTCCTGGGAAGGGGCAGGGCTGCTTTGGCCTTCACTGGGCTGTTGAGGAAGAAGGCATCTTTCTGTGAGGGCACAGGGCAGCGCCTTGCCTGTTCTCTCATTTCCAGGCCTGTCCCCTGTGATCTGAAGGCTGGACACTGGGGACATTGATACAGGGGGCCACGCTGGGCACAGGCCCTAACCCTGGACCCATTGATACACCAGTTCTGTAAATCACTCAGAGCATAACAGCAGCTTCAGGAAAGATGAGCCCTGAAGGAGGAGGGGCACATAGGGCCAGGGGCTCAGGTCCCCCAATGTCATCATTGGTGGCAGCTCAAGGCCTCAGCCATCATGGCCTGGAGGGAGCTGTAGCCCTGGGCATGAGGGGAGCTGCTGTTCTGGAAACCACTGGAACCTGCTAGGGTCTTCCATGGTGAGGCATGGAGCCTGGTGTGATTATGTCACTTCTGGTAGCAAGTATGTCATCAGCATGGTCTTCCAGGGACAGTTGGCCTTGGGCCATAACATCCTGTGGTATCAGCATCCCTGGGCAGGGCTGGGGCTCAGAACCCTGCTCCTGCCATGTGCTGAGCTTTCTGTCCCTAACTGGCGGCGTGTGGCAGCATAGGCTCTGGAAGAGGAGGACTCTGGGGCTGATGGGACTTGATGTAGTTTACTGTTGAACCTGTCTTTTTGCCGCTGACCCAAGTTGCTTCTGCTTTCTGGCTGGGCATCCAAGCCAAAATGTGGTCCTCCTAGACCAGCAAAGGATGGCATATGGTCCCAGAAATGTTTTGGAACCGTTAGTGCCTGCAATGCATCTACACAGCATGCCAAGCGAGATGTCCGATTTGGCTCCAGAGTGATGCTCTGGCTGTTTTCTGAGTGGCTTTGCCCTCCCTCCCACAAAACCCAGAGCCCTGCCACCTCCTTCTGGTGGCTTGATATTCCTCTTCTGCTCAATAGTCACAGTGGTCAGGCCATAAGTTGGCCTCACTAGCTAACTGTCCTTAGCACGGAACCGCTCCCTGGCAGAGGGGGTGATAACCAACTGTTGTTTCTGTTTCCCAAGCTATTCACAGGCACGGTCAGATTATTGAAAACACACAGGTGGGATGGAGGGTGGGCCTTGGGCCTCCCCTTCCCTTCCTCCAGAAGTATCTGCCTGCCTGGTCTTATCTGAGGGTGAGGTTGAGTCAGGCCTTCCTCCAGGGCATGGTCTCCAGGCTTTGGGGAATTTTGCTTCAGCTTTGGAGCCTCCTGCCCCCCAGCTACCCTAGGGTTTCATCATCAGGAGACCTGGAATGGCAGCTTCTACTCCATCAGCTCCTCCCCAAATCTCAGGCCAGTAGCCAAGGTGCTGGGCACCCAGCCAGCTGCTATTCCCTGCCCTGTTTCTAATTTTAGCTCCTGGAAGTTGTCCTCCAAGTGGAGCCCCTGTGTTGTCCAGTCCCGTGCAGCCCAGGGACCTGGGCAGGACAGGATGCAGGGGGCAGCAGCTCCATCCTGTGTGTGGGAACCCAGGTGATGTCTGTGGTCCTGTCATGGCTGGGCCTCCATGGTCATTGAGCAGAAGGGAGCCTGCTTGTCCCATGAGGGGGGGGTCCTGTTCTGAGTCAGTCGCCACTATGCGTTGGCAGCCACACCCTAGACCCATCTAAGGGGAGTCACCACCACCTTCTCTTTCTGCTCCCAAACTAACACAGTTTTGAGGGTCTCTGGTGAAGGCTGGGTTGCCCAGGGGCATTGAGTGTCAGTGTGCCAAGCCTGTGTTGGTGATACCTGTGGGTCTCACACCTGGGCAAAGGTACCATCTCCCTGCTCTGTGCTGAGTGTGTTGCAGCAGGTGTCCTGTGCAGTGGGACCCTTGCAAGCCCTCACCATCCCTGCCCCTGCACTACCTCGTACCCTCCTCCCCACGAAGCCATGTCCCAGAGGTGTGCCTGTGCTGGTGGCAAGCAGTTCCCCTCTGAGCCTCTAGGTGCCCCAGGGCAGCCCAAGACGGAGCCTCCAGTCTGGGGAGCCACAGAGGGGCCCTGAGTGGCCAGGTACCAGCCTCTGGCAGAGCTCTCTGCACCTTTGGAAACTGCCCAGGCTACTGGCTCACCTGGGAGCTCCTCCAGTTGGTGTAGGTGACATGGTGGCTCCCAGCTTCTGAGAGTGGTAGCTGAGCACTGAGAGTGCTGAGCCCTCAGCTGCCCGGGTCCACACAGCTTCCCCTGACTTCAGGAAGGCATTTGGAGGCCCTGGTGGGCAGTAGTGCTGCTTGGAGGTAGGGCAGGCCTGGCTCCATCCTGGTGAGACTGGACCCCTCTGCAGAAATGTGGTCGGCCCAGAGACCCCAGTTATAACCCAGACACCCCCTCCCCATGCAAGTGTGGTCTCTAGCACCCTAGCACTCTGCCCATCTCCCATCTTAGGAGCAAGACTTAGTGACAAGAAGAGTGGAGGATGATGATCCCTCCACACACCCCTCCTTCAGGGCCTAAAAATCCTCCCCAACTCCTTCTCCACCCCCCCCTTCCTGCAGAATGCAGAACTCTGGTTCTCCTCCTGCACCCCCTGGAACCCCAAAGCCCCCCATTTCTCCCCCGTGCAGCCGGTCACTCAGCTCTGACCCCTCTCCAGCCACCAGGTTCACTCCAAATTCTCCTGGCTGCCTCTGTCCCCCAAGATGGCCCCTCACGGGAGGCAGTAGCCCAAGTGACCTGCAGCTGGTGGGTCTCTGGCCCCCAGTATTCTGCCTCCCTGGCAGTTGAAAGAGACCAGGACACCGCCTAGGGTTGAAGCCAAGCAGCCCTAGTGGGGCCTCTCTTCCTCTCTCTTGCTTTCCTCCCCTCTGCTCCTCTACTCACACCTTCCTCTCCCTACTCTTTCCTTTGGCCAGCTGAGACTTTCCAAACAGCACCATGTGGAGCAGGCACTAGGACTGTCTCTGGCCCTGTCACTAAGCGCTGATAGCAAACTCACCCAGCCTCTGTAGGTCTTTGCAAAAACGAACAATTTATACGCAACTGTCTGCATCCAATTTTCACCCCCAAGTCCTAGGTAGTCTCTATGGGACCATCATGATTGTAGTGATGTCAGCAGGGCTGTTTGGGCCCTACCACGGGGCCTTTACTCATGCTGTCATTGCCCCTTCACCATGAGCTCAGAGAAGCCGGTAGGTGGCAAGGGAAGAAGTTCCCTGCATTTAGACTGAGGCTTCACTGCTGAGTTTCTGTGTGGCTGTAATAATTCACTTGGGAATCTCTGAGCCTGTTTCTGCCTAGCTAAGGAAAGGTTGGGCTAGAGCAACAGTTTTTGTCTATGTTGTCGGTGAGCCCTTTTGTCAAAGAGTCTTACACAGAGACCCAAATATGCCAGACTTGAGGGCGTGTGCAAGGTGACGTGGTATGGGAAAGCGAACCCCTGAACCGGCACCCACCTGGTAGGACGCGGAGAAATCAGACAGTACTGCTACAGCTTCTGCTCCTTAAATACCGAAAGTTGATCCTCTCCATTCTTATACACAGGCAATTTATTTTCTAAGTTAAACTTTATTCTGAGACCGTAACTAATTTATGGGCAGTTGTATCATAAGAACGCAGGGAGATCTCGCGCAGCCTTTACCCTGTTGCCACTGGGTTAGCATCTTGTAGAACTGTCCTTCAATATTGCAATGACCCTGCTGACCTTGCTGCATTGAGACAGAGCCTTCGACACCCCAGGTTGCCTGTGGCCCTTGGACAGCCATGCCCACCCCCTCCTACCCTTAGCTCTTGTCTCTTCTGCATTTTTGTCATTCTGTCATTTAAAAATAATGTCACCTAAATGGAATCATAGAGCATATGACCATTTTAGGATTTTTTAAAAATTGGTGCAGTTCCCTGGGGATCTGACCGAGTTGTGAATGCACCTATACAGCTTGAGCCTCCCTAATCCAAAATCCAAACTCTGAAATACCAGAAGTGGAAAATTTCACACCCAACCTCAAGTGATGGGTTGCAGGCAAAATAGAGGTACAAGTCAGACAAAGTGATACACTCCTATAATCCCAGCTACATGGAAGGCTGAGGCAGGAGGATTCCCATTGTGAGCCCAGCCTCTTTATTCTGGCAACTTAATGACATGGTGAGACCTTGCCTGAAAAATAGACAAGAAGAGGGAGCTGGGCTGGAGATGTAGCTCAGGGCTAAGGGCCTGGGCTCAATCACAGGAAAGAAAGGAAGAAAGGAAGGAAGGAAGGAAGGAAGGAAAGAAGGAAGGAAGAAAGAAAGAAAAGAAAGAAGGGAAGAAAAATAAAGAGAAAGGAAGAAAGAGAGAAAGAAAGGGGAGAGGTGTAAATAGTTGGGTCCCCAAAATATCTCATTATGTATATGCAAATATTCCAAAATCCAAAAACATCTGAAACACTTCTGGTGCCACGCATTTGGAGAAGGAACGGGCAACTTTCAATTCATTTGTTCCCTTTTATTGCTCAGTAGCACCTCACGGTATGGATATGGCAAAGAATTTTTAATTTTACTGTTTGTTGGTGGTGGGACTTACACATGCTAAGCAGGTGCTACCACTGAGCTAGGTCCTGAGATTCTGTGCAGGTCAGACACACTGAATTTCTGACTAGGTGTGGCCCTCGGCCCCTGGGGACAGCTCAGCCTGGAGGATGAGAGGAGCTGGGACTGGGGCCTAGCAGCCGCCTCTGCCTCCATCCCATCTCTGGCCACTGCTCGGCTGCTCCTCGTCTGAGCAGGCTGCAGGCTGAGCCCCCCAGGAACCAGCAGGAAGTCCCGCCCCTCTGT